GTCTTCCAATATGCTAATAGGAACGTTTTAGTTGGTTCAATCTGCTACCTCGTCGAACGACGGTGCCTTCTCTTTCACCCAATAGTGAGTGTAAAGGCGTACGAAAAGACGTTTTATGGCATCCCAGATGACCGCAATTGGTCGACTTTATCTGGGACCAAGAAGCAGCGACCTAATCAGAACAAATCGAAAAATGGACTGACTACAGGAGTGTTTAAGCTCCCAATTGGCTCACTTGGGGGGATGTAGTTTGGGGATGAGAGCTCGTTTGATCAGCTACATGTCCTGATTTATGCATAGGGTGTAAAGTGTTATCATGACGCTGAGCGGTGGTCTTTGCTCTTGAGAGTGCATTTAATTTGGCGACAGTCCATGGTGTCTTTTGAAAGATAGCAGGGTCAGCACGAGTCGAAATATCAAGTTCATCTTTTAGTCGCTCTTCTTTGGTCATTTGTGGCCTGGAAACAGGTCCTCCTGAAGGTCCATCCTTGGGAGGGCCAGCGGTACCGTTTGTTCCAACTGATCCTTTACCAGAGGAAATAGGACTCTGATCGAATTCCTCATCATCAGGGTCATCAAATGAGCTAAAGGAGAATACCCAATCGTCCGGCATGCTTGGGGAAGTGAATAGAGACCCTAAACAAAGCAAGCTCACTTTTTCGATCTCTTCTCCTGTACCGTAGACTGCGCATGCCTCAACGGTTAATCTGCAAGAATGTTCAACATTTATTTAAAACTTCAAGAATATCACAAAAGACGTGTTTCGTTTCTCCTCAAAGGTCGTTCACAACATCGTCGGAAAGTGGGTATACTCGTCAAACTGTGCACAAAACACGGCTCATGCCCCATATATCAGAGATAGCGAGCTCGTCAAATGTTCGAAGCCTTTCTTCACCCAAAGTGTCGCGTCTTGGGTCGGGACTGCGAGCTCCTCTCTCGACACATTCCAGCAGGCATTCCAGCAGGCATTCGTTCTCTACTTCGTCCAGAGTAAAAGGATGGGCACCAGCCAGAACACTACAACGAAGACACCCCGCTGCACCTACCGAATCTCGAGAGGCTATTGAGCATCTCCAAAGAGTATTTCCTCCCCTTGAATTCCCTGAGGATGTAGCTTTGCGCATAATAACTCACTCGAGTTGGAAAGGAGGTGAAGAAGGGCATAATGCGAGATTTGCATTCATTGGTACGTGATTAAGTACTTGGAATTAAAGGCTATCAAGGCTTAATGTGCACATTCGACATAACTATCCAGGGAGACGAGTCTTGGAATGTTATTTAAATCTTTTCTTGCATTCGCGCACGAACTCGGGTTTATCTACACCCCATGTATTTCATCGCATGGATTATGACGAGCTTATTTCGAAGATTTTGGATACTCACGTTCTTGGAGAATATGTTGGAGCCGCATGGAGTTTAGAAAAAATAATGAGATGGGTACCCTCACATGTATGTGCAAATCATTGTATGTGAGATCATGCTAACTCATAGATTTCTTAGACAAATGACCCATCAAGGACATTCTGGAGTTCAGGGCTCTATCGCGTTCGGGGGACAGCCGTGGAAGCAGTAGTGGGCGGTATCTTCCATCAATTCGTAAGGTCATCACACATGCAACATAAGCTTTACTAATTAACTTGGGTGATAAGGGTGGCCTGGTTGCACATCGGCTTTTCCACACGCGTATTCTCCCTCACCTCGCAGCGGCTTCATCACTCCCCATTTCGGATAGTATACGGGAAGCTATGGCAGATGCTTCTAAAGCCTATGGTGGTTCAGAAGCTAATCTCACTCGCTCTTCGCGAAAGGAGCTCCACCGCACCACTGACAGACCCATCTCTGTTGAGAAGTCCCTACAAATGCCGATTGGAGAATTTGGCTACACTGGAGCTAAGAAGCCCTTCCCTTCAGGCCCACCTAGATTGCCACCTCCAAAAAATTCCATTCGTCGTCTCAAGAGTCGCCAAGTAGGTCGGAAAAGTACGGGGGTCAGGATAAGCAGACTCAGCAGCAGTAAAACGAGTGATTCCTAGTCGTGTATCAAAGCGTCCCTTCTTATCCATTATACTATCGTCATTTAACACCAGAATGATCCTCATGTTTTTCTGAGTTATCGCATTCCAAACAGAAACCAGTGCCGATTCATCTGTTAAATACAAATTTATAAGACGAGAAATGCGGGCACAAACTAGAAATCTTCATAGTTAAGTCTATTCCATTCGAATGTCCGAGTATAGTTAGTTCTGGCTATACGGTAGGAATTTGCCACTGGGAATAGTTAGACCTATCACTTAAAGTAAGAGAGTAGGCACCTACTCAAAGGTGATGACGACTCTGTCACCCTTTGGATCTGCCTTCCTATCGACGTTCACCTGTACAACGGCATTTGAGATCAATCAATACCCGTATATCGTCTTTATCTAACCTTGCAGTCGATCATGGACCTATATTCCCATATGAGCTATACTCAAATACACACAACAGACTCACATAATTCCGTCTCCAAATTTCTCATGAATTACCGATTTGATTGGGTGGCCGTACACAATTACACCCTACAGACAGTTAGAAAAACTCATCTAGTGAACCAATATTTACCTCGTAGAGTCGGTATATCACTGTGGGGATTCAATATACAGTTGAAGAACTATGAGCAACCACTAACCTGGGTCCGCGGGAATGTCGCCTCCAAATCCTCGATTTGGCCACCAATGAGGACCCAACTCCTCTGTTATGGAATGTTCATCGACTTCGAGTGCTTTGGAGAGTCCCTATTGGCCAGAGCAGCGAGCAACATGGATGCCGAAAGAGACAACATAACACGAGTAAGTCAGAGTTCTTTGCATGCTGATATGGTGCCTACCTTGATATCTTCTGCAGTTGGCTTTGCATGACCGTAAAAGATAGAGGCAATAAATATCTCGTTGCGTCCCAACTCTTTCGCCAACTTCTCAAACGTCACACCTGAACATATGGTTGAACAGGGTTAGTTTCTTGGTTCAAAGCACTTGAACGAGACACATGGTACATACCCTTGCGAGCTTTGGCCTCATGGAGCTGATGCAGAATGGGAGGGAGCTGGCTAAAGGGCTCGGTATTCGTCGCTATCTTGGGAGTGGCGCCAGCTTTGGTCGCCTTATTTGCATATGCTCTGGAGATAAACCGAGTGTTTGGCACTGTAGTTCTCCTAATTAGAGCAATTGGATTCATATGCGGCGAATTTGGGCGCGAATGGCGTAGACTCGAAGTGAGACGGAGGATCCTTTATGATCGCCCCCGAAGGCGGTCCGTACAATCGTCTACATTTCCAAATTTATTCTCCAAAACCTTTCTTGCTTTTATCTCGATTTTTCAACCAATCCCCACAAAGTCTCAAATGTCGTAACAGGTTATCGTACCTTTTCAATTTAGGATTTGGGGCGAATAAAAGGCCTTGCCCAATCGCCCCATAGACAGCCTCGTCCCACTCGCTTTTCTTTCTCCTCCACGTCCCAAAAGCATGTCTTCCAAAGGTCTGTTTCTTATCACTGTCTCGTGCGACATCGAGCCCCATCACTGACCTTCATCGACAATACGCGTGCCTGTCTTTCGACATCCGGTGCCGTTACACGCCTTCTCCAACTTTTTCGAACAGGTAGGTAGCCGCGACCATTAGGATTCATAGAGATTGTCTGTAGTATATAAGATATGCTAACAATGTTTCTGTGATCTAGCTATTCACGAGTACGATGCAAAACTCCTTCTGGCGTATTGGCTAGAACGCGCCCCAGCGATCTCGAAAACCGCGACTGTCTCCTCCAACTTTATCTACCCATCCCCAAAAGTCGCCCAGATCTCCTGGGACCCTGAAACTGGCGCGATCACGCCAGATACTCAGCTCCCTTCATGGGTCTTTACTTCCAAACTAGTTGCCAAACCTGATCAATTGATCAAGCGACGCGGAAAGAGTGGGCTGCTCCTTCTCAACAAAGAGTGGGAACAAGCCAAGGAATGGATTGCTGCACGAGCCGGCAAGGAGGTGCAGGTGAGTTGGAATCGCGTCCACAAAAGTCGTGTCCAAGGTGGCATACTGAAGGCATGTATCGATGGATTACCATTGGTGCACTGCCAGATGCATGTTGATCATGTGTCAATGCTGTCACATCACGTTTTTCTCTCATTGAAAGCGAGCCACCTTTGCTAATCTAGATTCCAGGTCGAGTCGACGAAGGGAACCCTCAAAAACTTTATTGTCGAACCATTCCTTCCTCATTCGTCGGAAACAGAATACTATGTCTGTATCAATTCTGCTCGTGAGGGTGACAATATCTTGTTCACTCATGAAGGTGGTATCGAAGTTGGTGATGTCGATGCAAAGGCCCTCAAGCTCCTCATCCCCGTCAACCAGCCATTCCCAACTCGCGAGGAGATCAAGTCATGTCTCTTGACTCATGTACCTCCAGAGAAACAAGATACCCTTGTTGACTTCCTCATTCGCCTCTACTCCGTATACGTCGACCTTCACTTCGCATATCTCGAAATCAATCCTCTCGTCTGCCTTGATGGTGCCAATGGTAACCCACCGACCATCCACTATTTGGACATGGCTGCCAAACTTGACCAGACAGCCGACTTTATCTGTGGTCCTAAATGGGCGATTGCGCGTGATTTGAGTGTATACGACCAAGCCGCCACTGCCGCCGCAAAGAAAGGAGCTGTCGGTGCTGACCGTGGACCACCCATGGTGTGGCCAGCTCCATTCGGCCGAGATCTTACCAGGGAGGAAGCTTATATCCAGAAACTCGATGGATCTACTGGAGCCTCCCTCAAGCTTACGGTATTGAATGCCGGGGGGCGTATCTGGACGATGGTTGCGGGTGGTGGTGCTTCCGTCGTTTACTCTGATGCCAACGTCGGTGGTGCTTGTGGAGAGTACGTTTCTGCAAAATATATTCTATACTCTCTCTGACACTGTGGTTTTAGGATTTGTGTCGACACTGGCAAAGGCTGCTCTCTCCTCCTCACCAGTCCTTTGGCCGCTTCGCAAAACTTTGAGGTGAGTATTCGGTCAGGCGTGTTGAGCATATCAATTGACCCCGCTCTAGTACAAGATGTCGAATATTCTGTAAGTCTTCTGCCAACAGACATTGGTAGCCGCTGTCTTACACAAATGACTATCTCAGTGACAAGCCACTCGAGAGTGTCTTTGGTTATATTTCTGTGCTCCCCGGTGCTTTCAGTGCCTATCGCTACAAGGCATTGCTCAACGGCCCCAACGGAAAGGGTCCATTGGACTCGTACTTTAAGGGTGAAACCATGCACGGAGATGGCCCCAACAAAGCCGGCCTGTTCGGTGAGTTACGATCACTGTCTCTAGCACGGTCACTGATAGCATTTTAGAGCGAAACATGTACCTCGCTGAGGATCGAATGTGAGACATTTTGTAGGAATAATGCAAACACACGCTGACTAGCTTCATAGTCTCTGCTTCGAGATCGTCACGAAGAAGAAGGAGGGCTGGGTGTAAGTAAGCTATTTGTATAAAAAAGGCATATCGCTTACTATTTACTCAGACTGAAATATGTCAAGTCAGCCAAGGCGTCAACCGATGTCCCAACCACCATTGCCGAGTTCATCTCCCAACGTCGTCGATGGCTCAACGGTTCTCTATTCGCCGCCCTCCACGCCACAGTGTACATGCTCCGTATCTGGACTTCTGGTCAAGGCTTCTTCCGCAAGATCATCCTTCAATTCGAGTTTATCTATAACGCCATCCAGCTCTTCTTCAGTTGGACCTCGTTGGCCAACTTCTACCTCGCCTTCTTCTTTGTAAGCATTGGGTTTTTTTTTGTTCGTCTTCCAATATGCTAATAGGAACGTTTTAGTTGGTTCAATCTGCTACCTCGTCGAACGACGGTGCCTTCTCTTTCATGGGTGTCAATGGCATTGGTCCGATCATCTTTGAAGTCCTTCTCAAGGTATTTCAAGTCTCGGTTTCCAATTCGCGCTTTACTGACCGACTATCAGCTTTACATTGCGATTTTGTTCGTTGTCACCGTCTGCTCCCTCGGTAATCGACCGCAAGGTTCAAAGTATACATATGGCATGGCTATCATTATGTTCGGTATCTGTAACGTCATTGCTCTCTGGTGCGCGGCATACACCGTGTATCTACAAGCTCCAAAGTCAGCCCAAGAATGGTCACAATTCGGACAGTAAGTATCACTACTACTCTTACATGGCGGATATCTAATACAATCGCAGCCTCATCATGACCAACGATGCGTTCCGTGATATCGTCATCTCTCTAGCGGCCACATATGGATTGTACTTCTTCAGCTCGTTCCTGCACTTTGAACCATGGCACATGTTCACCTCCTTCCTTCGTACGTTTCCCTTTATCGCTCACGATAGCTGCCTAACTTGATTCGTTAGAATACATGTTCTTGCTTCCTTCTTGTGAGTTTTCCAACTTTATAACTCGAGTATGATTACTGATAGCCTCTTACAGACGTCAACATTCTCAGTAAGCTACATTGCGTTAATCTTGATGTTCACGACTAACCAAATCTCTTTCCACTATCTCAGTGATGTACGCCATGTGTAAGTAAACTTTATCAATTGTTGCGAGTATACCATTAACCACGTTTCACAGGCAATCTGTAAGTTTCGACCTAAATTCATCTAGACCTATGAACTAACCACATACTAGTCACGACGTTTCATGGGGTACCAAAGGTGACAATGGCTCCTCCAAGGACCTCGGTGGTGCCAAGAAGGTCGCAAACAAGGAAGGCCACGATGTCTTTGAAGTAGAATTACCGACCGTACGTGTCTATTACATGTTCATTGTTCTGGTTCTCAATTGCGTGCCTCATCTAGGCCCGCGAGGATGTCGACCGAGTCTGGGCTGCCAGCAAAGCTGCTTTGAGGAACAAGCCCCAAGAGGAGAAGCAACACCGTGATGCCGCCACCAAGCAAGCCGATGCCGACCGTAACAGCCGTACCAACACTGTGCTCGCTTGGATTGGTACAAACATGCTCATGATCCTCGTCTTCACATCACAAGCCTTCCAAGAAGTACGTTAGATTATATTCATTGATCGTATAAAGAGTTGACATTTTATTCAGTGGGCCGGAAAATTCGGAAACGGATCTTTCAACCCATATCTAACATTCCTCTTCTACGCACTGTGAGTTCTTATAGATTGATGTAATCCATACATGTCGCTAACGACTTATGCTCCAGTGCTGGCTTGTCCGCTATCCGCTTCTTCGGATCGACACTCTACCTTGTCCTCCGACTCTGTGGTTTATGATCTAACAAGATTGAACTGAAACGATCTCTCTTCATTCCCAAGATTATTACAAATTACCCTGTCTCCCCTAACATCATTATTATCCCCGATTTAATACTCCCGTACTTCGTCGGGGACAATCTCCTGTCTCGTCCTGCGTTCGACCTGTCTTCTCTAGGCTTTGACTGTGTACAAAGTCGCATCATTTCTGTTATTGGTCTCTCTTTTTATACAATTAAATACAGTCGTTACTGCAAAACGATTGCCAGCTTCGTAGATGACCCTTAAGGCTCTTTCTCTTTCCTAAGTTGTCATGCAAACCCGTGAAGACCATTCGGCAGTAACCAATATTCATCACCTCCAATTCAGCCAAGTCGGGTCTTGATGATTTCTTGATGGTGGTAGGCACTTACGCGATTGGAACACGGAGGGA